CCGACACATGCATCAAGTCGGGGTGAAGAATCGTACAGCACCCGGTCTCGACAGGGTCAAACCGGAACATCTGAAGAATGCGCCCGCCAGTTATCATCAAAACTCTGGCTCGACTCTTCACGCGCTACCTGTCGGAATGCAAGGTACCCACTCCGTGGAAAACCAGCAGGACCGTGTTGCTGTACAAGAAGGGAGACTTGGACGACAACTAACTTCGTATAGCATTTTCCAAAATCACAGAGAGACGATGGCTTCTCATTGAAATTAGCCTACTGTGGTTTGATCGCGTTCAACCGCAAGTCACTAAGCAGCGATTGACAGAATCGTGGTCCATCGAGTAGTGGGTAACAGGAAAGAACCAGAGTAGAACCTGTGCCACTAATGCATATTTTGCGGGCTCAGATTGTATGGCAGGTTTGCCCCCCCCCCCCCTTTGCGGGAATTTCATTGGTTAGCTCTCAAATAAAATGGTGAAATTCAGCAAAGTACAGTAAAGAGATGAGAGACAACAATAAGACCAACGTAGGTTGCTCATATGATCAGCGCCTAAGGTCACTTTGGGACTCTTAACACCTTTTTTTGCTTTCATTCGTTACTACTGGACAAACCACGCAACTACCTTCATCTCCAATCACAACAACACACACCTATTAGTGGAGAATTTGCCTCTGGGCTGTTAGGTAGAATATCCATCTGAGCTAACGTTTCAAGCTTCCCGGCCTTCCAAAGGTTTTAGGTTCCCCTCTCGAGTATGGCCAAACGCTGTGTCTAGTAGTGCAACAAATAAGCAGCGAAGTCCGCCAAAAAGTATCAGCCGTTTTGAACGCATAAATTTCAAACATAATCACTCTTTCTAATGCGATCGTTTTATTCGGAACATAAATCGTCACATTCCACACATTTCAACGCTCTACAAGTGAATTCCTTTCGCTCAATAGCTTTAACAATTCAAGCCCAAGAAATGTACAATACTAGCAACGAAAGATGTTCACTCACTGATTATTTCATTTCAGGTGTCAGCAAAAACTTCGGCAGGGTGTGGAAAGTGTACGCCATCTTCTGACGCCAGCTCATGACGACTATAAACGCTGTCAATTGATGCAGCTGGCAATCATAAACGGTACCTATCGTCAAGCTCAAGAAACAACGGCCCACGAATAAACCCAAAATATGTCGAGGGTTTATTTTCATTTTGCCAATATAAAATTGTGTTCATACTTCAAGTGACTTCGTTTCACAGCTCACATATACAGCGACAGATCATGGCTCATCTTCATTGCAAATAAAAAAAAGAACACGAGAAATAAGAAATACCCAACAACGAACAAGGGGTAGACTGTGATGCTAAACGCACTATACCCAGATAATAAAACTGCTCCACAAAACATGGATTCATGTGTACAATTTAATCAATTCCTCTCCAACTGCTGCTGGCGTCAAAATACCAAGATCCGTAAACAATAGGTTGATGTACTAAAAATAAAACCATTTACCCTATCAAAAGTTGAGAATGATGGTAACTCAGGAACAAAAACCAACCTGGGGAGAGGTGTAGTCAACCATCGGATGCTCTATGCTGAGGTCCTTATTCTCCAACACCGAGGTGCGGTACTAAAGATAATAATCATACGAAGTCCACATAAACATGACAGCTTTATGGGTCTCACAAAATACCTTGAATTCTTCTGGAATGTCTGCTTGATTTAGCGGGTATTCCTTGACGAATTTAATGCTCTCCGCCATTACAAAGAACGGTTTGTTCATGGTTTTCGCCACTATTGCAACGTTAAGAGTTCCAATCTATAAGAATTCAAAATGACAGGACTCCGCTAAGAATCAAATAGTTTAAGAAGAAAGTGGTAGCATTTTTTTCTAGCACGAATGTACGAAAATTAAAGCAGAAAGAACTAGCCTTGTTGATGATGCCACCAGTTTCCATAACACCTTCCGCTCCAACCGCAACCATGTCATTGCGTTGCCAATTATGTACCTGTATAGATTCATTGTATATTTGCTTTTTATACGGACCAGATTACTAGAAGAGCTTGGACTTTTTTAATTGGTTAACGCTATTAGATGATTGCAAGTCCGCTGAAAAAGTTTCATAAGAGTGCTGGGTTGTAAAAAAATATTCACCCCAGGTGCAACTCGAACCCAAACTGCCATCGTGTACCGTCTGGGGCCCAAGTTTCTTAACAACCCTGCACTCTTGTGAAGCTTCAGACTGTGTTGAGAAAGGTTTAAGCCATTGTTGTGAAAGTGGGGAAAGAGTGTTCTAATAGATAATGCCATAACGGAAGGTTCATCGATGAGAAATTCCCCTTGATTTGAAAAGGCTCATATGTGAGTTGAAGTCAATGAATATAACTTATTTCAAAGATGTTTCCATGTGGAACAGTGAGCAGGTTTTCCAAGTCGCATACGTCAGAGGAAATTGGTACTACTCAGAGCTCGTCACCACCCGTCCTGGCTTAGCGGAATAAACACAGAATTTCGTACACGCTAAGCATCCCATCAGATTAAAAACAACATCGAAATAGAATGTTTAGAGCCATAGAAAACAGAAAACGAAAACAGATACTAACCCAACAGCACTATCCAATATCAACGTTGTCGTGATGCCCTCCTTTCTTAGAGCCTCCTGCATTTGCAGACCAGATCCATCTGGTTGAGATTCCGTAACCTATATCATAATAAACTTGGTGTTCGAGTTGATGTATTTATTTGTTCCTAACTATAAGGGACATTTTTCAAAATAATTGGTCAAACTTACCCAAACGTGAAAAACTGTGCCTGCTTTGTGAACTGTGACTAGAGTTTCTAAGACAACTTTGCTGTATGAGTGCGTTAAGACGTTCTGGAAGTTCTTATCTCATGTCGACCAGCTCGCCATCCACAATAAACTAAAAACAAGTCTTTTCCCTAATGAGACTTACCATATTATTTCTGAAAAAGGGTCTGGCGTGTTTAGCTATCATTCCTCTGGATTTGGCCACCCGATTGATAAAAATTTTTCCTCGATGGCGATAGAAATCCAAAACTTTTGAAAAATCTTGTTGATCAAGGAGTTCTGCGGGTGCAAGGGTAATGAATCTGAAATGATTCCTCTTGAAAATATAAAACGGAAATATTTGAAGTAAAAAAGATTCTAGATACTTTGACCAAGCATGGAAGATCAGAATTTACCTCGGAATAAGATCACTGGCGCTTCTTTAGTCGACTGTGGAACTATGATTACCTCTGGCCATCAAAACCGCTCACGATTCGCAGTCAGCTCCTGTTCAACTCATTCACAGTTGTAGGCTGCAAGGCGAAATTACAGTTCAAAATAATTGCTCGGCAATAAGTCACTTAGTGTTTTACGATCTCTACCCAAAAGATCATATTTTCTGTCATGAGACGGCAAAGCTACTCAATGGTGTTTCTTAATGGTCCAAAAAGTTTGCATCGCACTTAAAAAGGTATGAGGAGAGTTTAATCCCATTGTCAGCAACGTGAAGCGAGTGGGGAGGGGACGGCGGAATTAAATTATTGACAATGTTTAGGTTTTCTTTCCAAAATTTAGCACGTTCCTGATACGCTGATCAGGGACTATAACATTAGCTGAAAACAAAACTATCATTAATCAAATATGAAAAAACTGATAATATGATAATGTGTTCCAGTAGTTAGTTGATCCTCAACAAATTTCATGTTCTGTTAAGTTTCTGACGCCCTCCTAGAAACCTTGGTCTGTGGTCTTGAAAATTTGGAACTGTGTCTTATTGGTAAATCACACGTTCTTCTGCTTTCCTGTCTTCGACGGAGGCGACAAGGAGAATACGCTAGTTACGTATTAGCACCTTGGTCTCAGTTTTACAAACCTAGAAGATGTGAAAACATGCTGACAATAAAGGCGGTCCGCAATGGGTTAAGTGAGCGATTTATACAGGAGCGTGGAGCTTAGCAGATACGTATCATAATGAAATAGAAATAAAAAGGTATGCTATAAGGGAAGCGATTCTACCGCTATTCATTTTCAATGCTATTTAAATAAAAACTGAGACTATAACGTCATATAAGAGGACCCATTCCGTGCACACTGGCATAGTGTCACGTTCTTGAGAGGAGGGGGGAGGGGGGATCTCGCTTTGGTCCCGGCAAAAAAAACAAATCAAGGTTTTCTTTGTTGCCCTTACTCCCTGACTACCTCCACAAATATGAATACAGACACCGACAACACTTTTATTAGCTTCGATTGGGTAGGTATCAGCGTTCGCGACCGCAAGATACTAACCAAAGTAATATAGAAACACGCTCAAATGAATCACAAATAAATTTTGAAAAATTACCGTTGCTATTTTCAAGTGCCGTCAACAGCGTTTCAATTGCTGCTAAACCTGTTGATTTCATTGGGTCCTCTTCCAAAAGTTGCGAGAATCCTTCTGCCGTACCCAATAAACACGATTCTGGCGTCATCGGTGCTGGCGTCATCGGTTCAGGCGTCACTATTGGTTTATACACTGGATTTCCTTTCACAGTATACTTTTTCCTGAAACTACTAGGCTGTATACATCCGCTTAAAATGATATGCTGTAACTGATTTGGTTTCAAGAGGGCACATTACACACAATAGACTAGTAGTATAGCCTGTACATCTATAGCAGCCATTAGTTCAGCATACTGGCGACAATGTCACACATGCCAGCCGGTACCCCCTCTAATGCGCTTGAGCAGATTCTATATTTTCTATTGGTAGTGTATTAGGGCTGGGTTATACATTTCGATCGTAACATCGCGCTATCGCACGATAGCTACGCATTTATTCCACTCTTGAACTGCAAAGTATTACCCTACCTTGAACCAAGAACCTATTCTAGTAGGATCTATGGTGGCCATGGACTATGCAAATCGATCATTAAGAGCGTTTTACCGGATGCCTTAATTTTCTTAAGCAACAAGTGGTTATTCGAATTCATACAAAGTTAGTTTATATTGAATGCTAGCGTTATGGCACAACCATTCTTGATTGTTGATTTGAGCCAATCAAAGTTTCAACACTTTTCCCACCAAATGCTAATTCTTTTGGCTTATCGAGTGTACAGGGTGTTCCAGTATGGGATGTGTTCTTAGAAACAGGGAAACTGCTTTCCGAAAATCTGTTAGTATCTGCACAAACACTGTTATAGATCTATTCTTACAGATTTACTTCCAACTATTCCCTACTAAAATCTCCAACCGAGATAGCTTTCCTTCATAAAAAGGAAGAGTAAGGGTAAACATTTTCCATAGAATTCAAAAAAGTCACAAAATCCTAGTTGAACATCCTTGCTTATATGTAATATATGTAGAAATCTTCAACATTTTGAGTTTTGGTAGTAGGAATTTTGAACTCTCAAAGCTAG